GAAAGCGGAGAAACCTGGCATCTGATTTGTTTCTAAGCTGTGTCTTAAAGAAATATAAGCCTGGGGTTACAGCCGAGATATCTTCCCAACCAAGAGGGCATTTTGCCCAAAGCTTCCTGCCCGTCTCTGCGCCGGGGGAGGGGAGCTGGGGAGAAACAAGAGCTCTTCCCCGGTCAGTTCTGAACCCTTCCCAATCTAGCTCAGGCCAGGTTTTTAATACTGAATTCGGGTGGTCCTCTGCATAAAAATATACATTGAGTTACTTTTCATATTTAAAAAATTAACTAGAATTTCATGGCAGAGACATGTCACCTCCCCCTTCTAACCTCTTAAAAAAAAAAAGGAATCCGACTCATTTTCTAATTTCTCCAAGGCAAACTTTCTTGCCTAAAGAGATTTTTATTTCTGGGACATTGGGAAATTCCTTCAGAAAAGTGTTGTCAGGCAAGCATAACAGTTCGCTCAGGGTGGGTTACTGGAAACATCCCGGCTCCATCTACCAGCGTGGTCAGCCTGTGCCCGACGCTGGCCTGCGCTCGCTCCCAGCGCGCAGCAGACTGCACCAAGCATCTCTCAGCCTTGGTCAAACTGAGTGTGACACTGTGACAGAATGGGCAGCTGGGCTTAGTTGCAGGATGGTGTATCTTGTGAAGACAGAGCAAAGGATCCTTTGCCAGGTTCACCCAGAGTTGTCAGTGCTTAGTCGTATCTCAGGGACTGTCTGAGACTCATGAAATAAGTCAGTCTAGGGACACACAGGCCGCACTGAGCTGGTGTACCTGACCTTGGACTTCTGTTTTAAAGAAGTTGTTAACACACATCTGCGTCATGTTTGGGGGTGGGAGGAAATGACAGCTAGCTTGAGCACGCCTTGGAACACAACACTTGAAATAAAAGAAGTGTGAGTCAGGGCCGTGGCTGCTTTACTTCCGTCTGGGTGCCGTGCAGCAGGGTTAAATTAGGTGGAATTTCATGGCTGTCACTTGGGTTTGGAAGTTAGTGGACTAAATGTCACCAGTGTGGGTCTGAAAGAAACTGATACTTTCAGTTTTAATAGCCTGACTCAGCCATATGGAGCCGTATAATATGACCCTGCCTCTGCTTATTGACTCACAGAACGTCAGGACTTTCTCTCTTGCGCACACTCACGATTCATCAGTGGGTTACTTCTGTCCACAACTCCAACATCTTTTTTAATGTGAATGAGGTGTTTCCTCTTTCTGTAGATGTTTTCCCCCAGTCAGAAATGTGAGGGATGTTATCAGTTCCTCCAAAAGCAGGTTTAAGCTAAAAGCTGAGTGTGACACTGTGACAGAATGGGCAGCTGGGCTTAGTTGCAGGATGGTGTATCTTGTGAAGACAGAGCAAAGGATCCTTTGGCAGGTTCACCCAGAATTGTCAGTGTTTAATCGTATCTCAGGGACTATCTAACAGGGACTCATGAAATAAGTCAGTCTAGGGACACATGTGTCTCTGTTCTGGGTTGTCTTCTAGAGAAATAGAGCTGGTGGTTGAAAGCAGAAATGTCCTTCCAATCAAGAGGGCATTTCGTCTCTCCAACCCAATTTTCTATCTCTGGCAAAGGGAGAACAAAGTAACAGTTATATTTAGTCGCTGAGCCTGAGAATAAGAGTAGTAGTTTATTTTGCACATTGTTAGGTACAAACCCTCTTCCTGCCCACAGAGTGACCATGGTGGAGTGCTTAATTTAACCTTTAGTGATAGAAACGGAAGTCCACCAACCTCAGTCTCTGAGGAGAAAGAAAACAAATTGGAAAACTGAGAGCCTGTTTGTTCTTGTTTTTTTAAATATGTCTTTATTAATTTCAAAGAGAGGAAGGGAGAGAGAGAGATAGAAACATCAATGATGAGAGAGTCATTGATCTCTGGCTGCCTCCTGCACGTCCCCTACTGGGGATCGAGCCTGCAGCCCTGGGCATGTGCCTTGACCCGGAATCAAACCGAGATCTCCTGGATCATAGGTTGATGCTGAGAGCCTGTTTTGATTTGGACAGAAAAAGTAAAGCTTCTTTGCAGCCACCTTCAAAAGACTTCATCTTTTCACCTGGTCTTTCCATGAAACTATGAAATTATAGGAACAATTTTTTTTAGTTTTATTGAAATATAATTCACATACCATGCAATTCACCCATTTAAAGTGTACAATTCAATTTTTTTTGTGTATGCACAGATGTGTGCAAATATCACCAGTCAATTTTAGAACATTTAAAAATTTATTTTATTTTATTGCTTGTAGAGAAGAGAGGAAGGGAGAGAGAGAGAGAGAGAGAGACATGGATTTGTTGTTCCACTTATTTATGCATTCATTTGTTGATACCTGCGTGTGCCCTGACTGGTGATCAAACCTGCAACCTCAGTGTATGGGGATGATGCCCTAACCATCTGAGCTACCCAGCCAGAGCCAAACATTTTTATAACCTCAGAAAGGAACCCAGTACCCTTTAGCTATTGCACCCCAACCTGCCTATCTCTCCCCAAACTCAAGCCCTATGTAACCACTAGTTTGTTTCTTGTCTCTATAGATTTAACTATTCTAAACATTTCATATGAATGGAATCACATAATATGTGTTTTTTGTATGTGTGTGACCGATTTCTTTCACTTATCAAAATGTTTTTAAGATTTATCCTTATTGTAGCATATGGAACCATGTTTGTTAACTGAAGATATTTAATTAGCAGAGAGAGAGAAAGACCTGTTGCTCCACCCATCATTCCTGCATTCATCATTCATGTATTCATTAGTTGTTTCTTGTGTGTGCCCTGACCTGGGATTGAACCTGAAACCTTGGCTTATCAGGATGATGCTCTAACCAACTGAGCTATCTGGCCAGGACCTTCCTATATTTTTTCAGATTTGGGTTGTCTTTGGTTATAAGACTGCCCTGGAAATTTGTTTTCCTGAGTAGATGCCTCTTGTCTTTTCAAATCACTAGCTTTTGGATCTTAGAATTTTGTGTCCAAAAGGAATGCCAGAGATTAGCTAAGCCTCTAAGGAATGAGGAACCAACCTCTCATTTTAATGTGAGAAAACTGATGCCTTAAATAGACTATTTGTTTTACCTTGTTAATGAAAGAGCCAGAACCAAATCCAGTCCTATGGCCAGGGTGAAGCACAGCCACCTGTATTCTGACCAATAAAATTTCCTTTTTTCCAAAATCCTTCCAAAATGATGGAAGGAAAGGAATTAATACTTATTGAGCACTTACTTTAATTCAAGTCTCATCCTAAGTAATTTTACTTGTGTTATTTCATTTAGTCTTCATAACAACTCTATGAGATCAGTACTATGAACCCAGTTTATCATTAACATCATCAAAAACATATATATAGTGCTTTTCTTTTGCTTCAGGCTCAGTTTGCCTCTGGAAGCACTACTAACAAATAGCCACTATTATGATAATTTTACACATAGGAAACTGAGGCCCAGAGTGGTTAGGTAATTTCATTACCAGAGGTCACATAGCTAGTAGGCAATGGAGTTGGACCTCAGACCTAGGTCTGACTCCAAAACCCCTGCTCTTTGTAAAATCATGTTGTGTTTTTGTAAAAGACATTAGGTCATTTTTGTAAAGAGACAGAAAGTAAATATTTTCAGCTTTGTGAGCCATTGGTCCCTCAACTCTGTCTTATGGGCAGGAAAGCAGCCATGGACAATGCACACATGGGCATGGTTGGATTTGGCTCATGGGTGACCATGCATTTGATTATAACAGAGCATCTCAGGCACATCTATGTTATCTTTGAAGATATTATGGCCAGACTTCCCTGATACCCTACTTGGATATGTTTCTTTTAACATAACAGAGGGAAGGCAATAAATGATAATCAGGCCTATTCTACATAGGAGTCTGAATTCCTCATTGGATAGGAGACATCACCCATCCCACTGTAATTTTCCACTTGTCAACAGGCAATGGTATTTCAGAGTAATTGAATTTCAAATAGTCTGAAAAGGAAAGGCAAAGTTTCTCCTGTTTCACATAAACTCTAATAGAAGAGGTTAAGCTGTAGAAACCAGTTTAGCATGTTCTGTGGTTACTCTGGCTCTGTGAACGCTACCCCTGAACAAACTTGACTTTGTAACAAAACAAAAAAATAACCACAAAGGTTAGCTTTCTGAAGGCATACAAATAGTTAATCATTTTAGTAATACCAACTTAAAGTAGAACTTAAAAACTATATTTATGAGGGTGAAATAATTTAACAAATTTGCTATTCACAAATATCTAGTGCTTGCATGCTCTCCAAATTGCCTGAGGATTTAGGATCCAACAAGACAAGTTCCTATGGAAGGTACTGGGAAAACTGGACAAAAAAATAACATAGTACCTGCCCTCAAGGAGTTTAACTAATTTGTAACATTGTTATCTGTGGAAGTGGGATTCTTGGAGTACTGCTGGCATAAACATTTCCAGAGGTCCCCACAGGAGGATGAGATATGGTAGAAAGCTTTACTTTCATGGAATTATATCCCTGGGTTTCTAAAGTCCCATTTCCCTTAGTCCAGTCATAGGACTGTAGCTGGGGTTTCAGTAAAGCTAGCAGCAAAACCAGTGTCCAGAGTTTCCTTTCCATGTCGGAGCTGGTTCCAGTTCAGCATCAGGCTACTTATAGTCCATTAGTCCATTATGTGGGGGACCCACATGGCCTTGGGCCTCAAGGCCTAAGCACCAAGAGTCCCAAGGGTACCAAAAGCACAAAAGAGCAAATTCCTTTGTTTAGGGGATTAAATATCCCAAATTTCCACACACCTGCGGTGGCCACGCCCATTCTGGCCAATGACCTTTGTTCCCAGGTGTGATTGACAGCAAGCAACTTTGTTAGTCCCCACCCCTCAACTTTACCGGGCATGCGCCTATCTTCCCCTTGTTCAGGCCCCTTCCCCCAATGTTTTGCAGGGGATGTGCCTATAATGTCTGGCCTTTCCTTTGCTCCATTTCTATTATTAATAATTTGCTAATTATAAGGGTATCAACATGGCCCAAAGTAAGGTAAATTTAATGTTTCCTTAAAATGTAATTAATTCTGAGAGGAAAAAGTTAATAATCAAAGGCAATTTTAAACTAAGAACATGGGATGCATGACCCATTTTTGTTTGCATATTATTCCTAGGCCTTGTCATCTGCAGATAGATATTTTTTTGCAGATGTATTTTACATAGTTTGTCATAGTGCATGTGCCATTTCATGCTCCATTTATTTTATAAACATTACATCATACAATCTTTGTGTTAACAGGTTGATATTTATTTATTCAGAAAACATTCATTGATGCCAACTCTGAGCCAGCCCCTGTTCCTGGCACTGGGAATACAGCAATGGGTAAACAGAAACTGGGTCAGTTATCTTGGAGCTTCTACGCTAGAGCAGGAGGTTATGTCAGAAAAAGGAAAGAACGCTTCAGTCATGTGATATGAGAAAAGGAAGTGACATTCTCTGAAGTAAGGTGAAATGTTCTCTGAAGGGGAATTTAATACAAGAACGAAGTAGAATAATATCTATAAATCCTGGGGGACAGAATATTGTTCAAAGTCAGGTCATCATTCAGGCCAAGGAATTCATCTACAGATATGAATGAACTTAGGAAATATATTAATCAATATTAGCCCTTCTTGAAAAGACAGCAAGAGCTTTTCACCCAGGGGCGAATGGAGAAGCCTAGGAAAGGGACTCACTGTAAGCAATGATCCACTACTCTGCAGAACTAAAACTGCATAACCAGGAACTATGGTTCCCGAAGATAATTTTTATACATAGTTCATTCTCATTATTCATGGTAGTTATGTTCTACAAGGTCAGCGTAAATGCTGGATTAGCAAATATAGGGGTAGGTTCCCAAGAGCTTCTGGTTACATTTTTGTTGACCAATCAATACATATATATTTTGATTTATTAACATTGGTCTCGTAGCCAACAGCACTGTAACTCATGCCTGAATAAAGCTTGTGTAACCTTTATTTTCTCCGTAAGGCACAGCACTGCCTTCTTCAATTTAAGAACACCAGAGAGCATGTAAGGACTCTCCTGTGGGGCCATTTTAAACAGGAAAATCAGTCAGAAAAAGCACAAGAAGCAAAAATATAAAAAACAACACACACACACACACACACACAAACCCACGTGGCAGTAAACAGACAGTGAAAAGGTATTTTTTATGAGAGTTGAAGGGAGAAAGCAGTGTTGTGGCATTCGACCTCAACTGAGAGTGGACGTGTGGGGCAACTCAAAGTTTTGCCGCTCTTTACACATCCATGAATAACTAGAAAAGCACCTCAAGTATTGATTTTCGGGGTTACAAGTAAATTTTAGCGAGTAGGTGCATTCACAAATATGGAATCCACAAATAATGAGTGACTATTTTGACCATGGGAACAAAAACCATGTGTTTGTGTGTGTGTGTGGCTGAGGAAGGCCTCGAGGAGAGTGAGAGGCGATGAGTGCCTCACTTTCCTCATCTTTCCTGGTAGGAGACGAGGGGATAGAACAGGTATAATCAATAGAACAAGGACTCTGTGACTGATACACCACTACGGAGGCTTAAATCTTTATTTTAAACTAGAAAAGGAATCACTAGATGAACTAAAAATAATTTTGTAACTAGGAAAAATCGGGAGGTAGGAGTCAGGTCAGTGGGGAGAAGCATTGAGCGTGCTAATGCCCTCACCATGTGTAACAGAGGGTCACTAGGCACTGTCTCAAGCTACTAGCGCAAGGACTGGAGCGGAGTAAGGAAGTAAACTGTTTCACAAAGGTCAGCGGCAGGCCATATGGCAGAAGTCAGCAATCTGCTCCACAACAGTCTGAGATACAGTTTCCTGATGCCCTCAAAATCCTTGCTAGGGATTCACATTGGTGGATAACTAAGTCTGAATAAATATACCTAAGTCTGGGGCAACTCTGCATGTAGTCTACTTGTGGCCTACAGTCCATACATTTATGTCCCATGGAACTGAGATGTAAATATTTCATATAAAGTTATAAAGGTTAACACCAAAAGAATCAAAGCAGGCTATAAACTTCCCAGTATGAGAAAGAATACATAAACGAAAACAACGAAGAGAGATGGGGCAATCCATATAGCAAAAGATAGCTATAGAAACCAAGAAAGCACAACGTGAGAAAATCCAGCGCTACAGGGTGAAGTGCAGTTGTGCCAGGTGGGTCCTCCAGGAAGCAGAAACCAGGATGGGACTGGACACGCACAGGATCCGCTGTGGGATAAAGGAGCGGGGAAGGCGCCTGTGGAGAGCCTCCCCACCACCGCGCAGGCCTGGCGCCTGAGAAGGGAGCGGGGAAGGGCCATAGGATTGGCAAGGATGCGCTCAGCGCAGTTCTGAGAATATTTCAGCCGGGCTGACGGGGGTCCCCGGAGCCGTAGTTGCCTGTTACTGGAACCGTCCATGAGGCAGGCATGGCCTGCGTGGCCTGGCTCCAGTCCCCACAGGGGCCATTGTCTGGGAGCAGCCTGTGGAGTGACGGCTTCGGTGTGAATGTGGGGCAGCTGGAGGCACAGTAAACTTAGCTGTGCTCCCTGAAGAAGGTTCTCTCCAAGGCAGGTTAGAGTAAGGCATTTCTTTGGCCTTTACACCAGTTGTATCTGTTATGCCGATAAATCTGAAATCATCTATTTTTTTTAAAAAAGGCTCTCGGATTGGGTCATAAAATAAACCTAGCTAGATGCTCTACGTAAGACCTCTTAAAGGGTTTCAACAGTTTTAAGAGAATAAAAACATGCTAGGCGAATGCTAATGAAAAGAAAAAGCCAGCTTACCGCTTCACTGTCATTTGGTAGAAGGAAAGGCAAAAAAAACCACATAATGAAAAAGGGTATAATTCCTGAAACATGAAGTGCAGGTAATCAAAAGTAAAAATCTACGAAACTAAAACTTAATAGCTTGGGGAACTTGAATTTGTCCCTCAGTGTAATGCTGTTATACTTTGCAAAATAAGTGCCCCATTGATATTTAAATACATTATTTCCAGGTGATAAGAAAACATTTCTGATTCCCTGAACAGACCATGCTCCCTATTTAGATTCTCATTTTACACCATATCTCTGTTATATGGTGTATATCACAGGTTGCAGTTTTATACTTGCTGGTATCTTTTCTCTCTCTTTTTCTTAAATTTGAGAGAGAGAGAGAGAGAGGAGAGATTTGTTGTTCCACTTATTTATGCATTCACTGGTTGATTCTTGTACACACCCTGACCAGGGATTGAACCTGCAACCCTGGCGCATAGGGATGACACTCCAACCAACTGAGCCACCTGGCTAGGACTGTTTTATTTCATTAATGCCTGACTCTCCCTTGGAAATGCCACCTGACACAGAACCTCAGATAGAGCAGACTCTTGTTGAATGGCTGTACATTTCCACTAAGGATGGGAGATAGTATATGTAAAGCTGTTGTAGTATTTAGTACTGAACAGAGGAACTAGGAAATCTGTTTTTCACTCAGTACTTGCAATGGGCTTTTTCAGAGCACAATGCCGTTATAAAAATAACTACGACATTTAAAGATATATGAAATCAGAGTGGTTCTATGAAATGAAAAATAAGAATTCATTTGTACCGCTCTTTTTGCCTTTCACTAACTTTTCATTTTTAAGGACTTCTAGTAAAGACTCAGCAGGTCAAGGAGGTTAGTCAAGCCATTGCATAGACATGAAAGTTGGCTAAAGAATAGCTTGGGCCCAAATTCACTAGTCTTTTCTGAGCCTTCCAAGGACTCAGATATGTGACTTTTGATACACTGACTTAATGTTGCTCATTTGGCTCAAAACAAACAGACATAACAAACAGTTCCCTTCTTTGGGAAGGGATCTCTATCTTCCTCAGGGTGAACTCATTCATAATTATCTCCACAGCATTCATCTCCTGGGCAGGTTGATGGCAAGTGAAAGATGACCTAATTTCCCCAGGCTACCTGGTGAGTCGGTTGCACAACCAGGAACAAAACCGAGAGGCTCATCCCTATCTACCCTATGACACCTGTTCCATAGAGTGACTAAACAGTTATTTACTCTGGGGCTGGCTCTACAAGCACCAGACAAGTTTCAGTCCATGTGCTCCAGGAGCATACAAGTCACAGGAAGAGAAAAATGAAAGGGGCCAACAGGTGGAGAACACGTTCACATAGATGAGTAAGTTCTGACGCTAATGAACAGAGTAGTGTCAATAGGTGACAATACTGGATTGTATACTTGAAATTTGCTAAGATACTACATCTTAAATCTTATCGCCACACACACAAAAAGATAACTATGTGAGGTGAAGGATGTGTTAACAAAGAACTTTATTGTGGTAACCATTTCACAATATATACACATCAAATTATCACGTTGTGCACCTTAAACGTACAAATGTTATTTGTCAATTATATCTCAATAAAGCTGGGTGGGGAAGAAAAATAAAGGTAGTATATTGTGAGCATGCCTCACTGCGTGTGCTACTTGACAGTGTAGAGTAAAAGGAGGAATATGTGAGTTTAGGGATCACTATTTTCTAGGGTGGGAGATTTCAATTTTTAACTGTCTGTTTGAGCTTCTGCTATTTCTATTTTGGAACTTCACTCACTCCTCAGCGACAGTCCCCGCTGGTTTTCACAGCCCGAAGTTGTGGGGACGTCTCTTCTCAGCCCTGGAGTCCTGGGCTGGGGGCCTGCTGTGGGGCTGGGACCCCTCACTCCTCGGGGATACCTCCATCGCCGAGATGTCCTCCTGGGTTTAACCCGTGGCACCGGCTGTAGGCCTGGGGCCCCGTCTCCAATTCAGCCCCGATCTGCCCGCGTCTCCGCCCCTCCTAACGGTCTCGATGCTTCTTCAGCTCCCTGGTTGTGGGGCTTCTGTTCCACCAGATGTCAGGAGGCTCTGAGTGCTNGGGGATACCTCCACCGCCGAGATGTCCTCCTGGGTTTAACCCGTGGCACCGGCTGTAGGCCTGGGGCCCCGTCTCCAATTCAGCCCCGATCTGCCCGCGTCTCCGCCCCTCCTAACGGTCTCGATGCTTCTTCAGCTCCCTGGTTGTGGGGCTTCTGTTCCACCAGATGTCAGGAGGCTCTGAGTGCTGGTTGTTCCGTAGTTAGTTGTAATTTTGATGTGGTTGCAGGCGGCGGGGGCAGCTGTTCCCTGCGCCGCCGTCTTGCTTCCTCTGTGGGAGACAGTTTAAGGCCACACACATATGCTCCTCCTCAAACGCACCCCCACTCAGTTGAGCATCCATTGATGATTCTTGCCTAAGCAATCTTTAATTTGATGGTTGCAAAATGATTATAATCACCTCCAGCATTCACTCCACACTTACCAGTGGGCATTCAGCATTATACTGGAAGTAAGAGTCCTCTTCTCCTTTCTTTGTTTATTTGTATGGAATCATGGATTCCTAATTTTTTCCAAAGGCTCATACTTCATTAGTGCCCTTAATTATTTTGTGCTCAAATTATCCCAGATCTGGAGAGTGGAAGCCCCTTCAAGTTGACTCCTGTAGCCTTGTGACATGTTTTTAAACACTCCCTTGCTTTCTGCCATGACAAGATGCTTCAGGTTCATCTATGCTATTCCCCTCCCCATCCCTAACTTTTCTTCTAAGGCCATCCTTACAGCCTACTCAGCAGGATGAATGCTTGAAGGTGGTGCTTTGAGAAGCAAAGGAGAGGGTCCAAAAACGCCACTGCGGTCAACAGTTTTAGATGCTACTGGGCTCGTGGCAAGACACATCATGTTCTCCACTGCTGTCTTAGGCAGGTGCTCTAGACAAGGCACTTGGCCCATGCAGCTTCAGTTATTGAGTCCTCTACTGTGTGCTGGGATCAGTGAGGGCTACACAAGATTATAAGACACCATTCCAAGGAGACTACAGTCTAGCAGGATAGACATACATGTACATAAATACCTATAATACACCCCTGAAAGCATTTTCATTGTGCTTTCAATGAGATCCATAAAGGGGTTTGGGGAGTTCTGTGATGAGGCAGAGTACTTATAGCTGGGTGACTTTTGGGGTTAGACTTTGAAGGAGGTAGAATTTGGAAAAGATGGTTTTTCTGGTGAAAAAGTCACTATGTATGAACTTTGAATCATGTATGACTTAGCATTTTTATGGAACTAGATCTAGCCTCTTGCGAGGTGCTGTAAGGCACATAGAACTACAATAAGTGTAGGACTTGATGCCCAACTAAGTAAGGAATTGTCACGATGCCGTCTAATTTTTATTTTCAGATACAGATGAAACATGTCCTTCATTCACCAGACTGAGCTTTCACAGTGCAGTGGTTGGTACGGATCTAAGTGTGAAGTTGATGCTCTACACAGAGAGAAACCAGACCTGCGCACAAGTCATCAACTCCACAACTTTGGGGAACTTGAATGTGACCAAGAAAACCACCTTCATTATCCATGGATTTAGGCCAACAGGCTCCCCTCCAGTTTGGATAAGGGACTTAGTAGAGGGTTTGCTCTCTGTAGAGGACATGAACGTGGTTGTTGTTGATTGGAATCGAGGAGCTACAACTGTATTATACAATCATGCTTCTAGTAAGACCAGGAAAGTAGCAACAATCTTGAAGAAATTTATCGACCAAATGTTGGTAAGGGAGAATTCTCTTAGATGACTCAGGGCTAAATTGAAACTGGCCCATTATTTCAAGAGTTAAAGCCAAGGAATATCTGCAGTGAACAGGGGGACTATTTTGCAGATCCAAATAAGCCTCAGGGGAGGTGGAGGGAAGGGCTGGAGGTAAGGCCACATGTATGGTTGTGTAGGTTGTTCATTGCACAAAGCACCCATCTAAGGGAGCAACATTGCCATTGTTGACATTGTACATTTATAAGTTTATTAAGATAATTTTCCGCCCAATGACAGCAGTGTCCTGAGGAAGGGGCATATCTTCCTAACTCACATAAAGGTGTCCTGTGGGTAGGAAATGTTCTGTCTAGGGGTTTCTGGGCTTCAATGACTAGAGCTTCCTTAACTTCTATAGCTGTTCCTTTTCCTAGAAATGTCAAATTTTAGCTAGCAGATTGTCCAAAACCAAAACTGATACACGTGATCTGATGAGAAAACATCGTGTATGTATGATTTATGCCTTTAGAAGACTTACAAACATTAAATAAGTCTTAAATTTTATTTAGTGATCTCATGGATTGCTCCTTTATGAAAAAAAAAGTGACTTGATACTGGGACTATTTTAGAGTGAGTCACTGTGTTTAGCAGTGGCATAAGTTTTATTAGAATTCCCCACCTAAGTCACAGCCCTGGGAAAGTAAATAGTCAAATGATGGGACTGGCTGTCCCAGCTACTATGGTCAATGTGATCCACTCCCACCCTACTTTCTTTCCTTCCCTCTCCATGGTGAATTTATTTAATTGATCCAGCATGAAGATTAAAAAAGTTCGTCAAGTATTGTTGCCCTTCTCCCCAACTGAGAAGGTTTTGAAGATGCCTTGTCTTGCTTTTTAGAAGAAGCATGAATGGAGACACCATGGCATATAAAGGTTAAGTCATAGGTTTGAGTTGACAGACTAGTTTGAATATTACCCTGACCCCTTCCCACTGCCTGACCTTGGGTAGATCACTTCAACTCTGGTCCCCAGTTTCCTCATCTGTATAATCAAAAGAATAGAATTTACTTTACAGAGGTGTTGTGACACTTGAGATAATGGAGATGAGGTGCTTAGATGTGTTTCTCCAATTCTCCAAATGTTTTCAACTCCTTGGCCCCCACAATTTATAATGATGGACCTCTTGAAATTCCAGGTAAAAGGAGCTTCCCTTGACAACATTTACATGATTGGAGTAAGTCTAGGAGCCCACATATCCGGGTTTGTTGGAAAGGAGTTCAATGGGAAGCTGGGGAGAATTACAGGTAAGGCTTTCTGTGAATGGGCATGGAGTGGTTGGCCTGGGCAGAATGTTCACTGGGGAAACATGAAGTAGGCAATCCAAGTCCTTAAGTTGGAAGCCAGCTCTTCCAATTATTTAATGTCTCTGAGTGTGTGATGTCTTGTGCAAAAGGCACACCATGCTAATGTTGACCTCAGGTTATTATTTAATAAGACACGTGCAAAGCACTTTGTAAATTGTATATGTCATTGAAGAGATTGGTGGTGACTTTATTTCTCTTATGGCTAGAAAAACAGCTATGTCTCATGGGTATTTGATCTCTGTGCCTCAAGCAGATATTCTTCCTTTCATTTAATCCAGAATAGCTTGAACTACATACCTAATAAGTTGCTGTCCCCAGGCACAGGAGGAGTTTCATGATAGGAAAATGAGATGGGAATTTTGATATTCTCTGATTATCAGTTTTCAAGCTAAAACTGAATAAAAATACTTAGCAACACAAGAGGTCAAATCCCAAACAAACCCGTGTTGGGTTTCTTGCTTAATACTCTCCTTGGCTACAAATGAAGGGCTGAAGGAGGCTTTCTCTTTCAGAGACTTGGGACTTCTTCATTCATACCTTTCCCAGAATCTATCCTCACATGGAAATAGCTATTTTAATTCTAGGGAATTTGGAAGGTAGAATAAGGAGGTAAGGGAGAGGTAAGTGATGCAAACCAACTACTTTTGGGAGGTAAGCTCTTAGGGCTACAAGTCTGAATGTGCTGCTTAACTTAACAGGTAGCCCTGGGCAAGTCATTCCCTCTCCCTCTCCCTCTCCCTCTCCCTCTCCCTCTCCCTCTCCC